ACCTTACCAAACAACACGTAGCCTACAAGTACAAGCATTAATACATTTCTGATACTTATAAGTATAAAGTTTATGCAGATACATCAAACTTAAACCAGTGATGACTGACACATTACTTTAAGTTGATATGGCAAACTTGTCGCATATTTACACTTCCAGCAGATACAGAGAGAATCATTTTGGAGTCATGTACAGTGAGCAAACTGTTCAGTGTCCATCAGCTCCAGTTTTGGTTGATGCTAGTCGCTAACCGTGTCCGTCTGTTTGGTGCATACGGTGGTTTATAGAGCTTTTTATACTGAAGACAGCTGCCTGCTGTGGCTGAAAATTATACTATGAGAGCAGAGAGAGAGTTATGGGTGGGAAAATCGAAACACTGAGGTGAAAGACACCGAGATGTATGATGTAATGATATATACATACTGTATGTGTCATGATAGATTAGTTTTCCATCCTTTCAGTCATTCCAGCCATTAAAAAAAAACATTTTGACATACAATAGCAATAATGCAGGTACTAAGCACAGCCGAATATCGAAGTAACACTGTCGCTGGTGCCCAAAACTGAAAAATACTTAATATTTTTTTAAGGTGTCCGAAAATCTTTATGTCAAAATAAACAGAACAAAGCTGGTTCACTCTGAGAAGCTTCTGCAATGAAGCAGAATTCTCACCTATCCATCTTACTCCAACTAACAACCTGTTTTTCTCCTAATTCATTCACGGCTCACTGGCCGTGACCAAACCTCCAGAGAAATGTCAGTGTTCCTCAACAACTGGGACCACTACACAATAAAAAACATGAATGGTGCCCTGACTTGGGCATTACAATTGATTTTCAAGCTCATGGTACTTCACTTTTCTGTGGAAAATGTGGCGTTGTCAGTCTTGTAGCTGGCAAGAAGGTTCAAGTCTGTGACTACGCAACTCAGCAGCAGATCTTTCTTCGTAATCTTCTCCTTTGTCAAAACTTCAGATTTTTATTATTTTCTCTTGACAAATCTAAACATGAACCATGTTTTTCCTACACTTATAAACTCAAATCTGACCATTGAACCTGTAAAAGTGTTTTTTTTAACCATCTGTCAGGTTTTTATGACTTTGAAAGTCTTAGTGCACACCTGACCTAAGCCCAAGATTGTGAAAATAAATCAATATCCCCGATAAATCTTTAAATAAATAAAACACTTGGTGGGATCTTTTAGGGAAGAAGAGGCTAAGTATACGAATTTTAGCTTCCCACATAAGCAAAAATTTAATTGTCAGTAAATAAATACTTATAAATCTCACTATGTCAGCATGACCTACACAATGTTTGTGGTGTAAAATAGATACACGAACCTTTGAGCTTTGCATTTTCCACCCCTCTGGCACTAAGTCATGTTGATGCTTTAATGTTAATGATTCAGCCAACAAAGCCCACATCCAAATCTCTCCTGTCTTTCCAGGGGTAAGAGTTACAGTGCAGCCATCTTTCACACTGACACTGCTGGAATACAAACGTTAAAGCACTGACCAGTCACATGTCTTATTGTGTTCAAACTTAAAGATAAAACACGGGTGAGTAGAAAGCAGCATCAAACATGTGCGGTGAATCAGAAAGAAATAATAATGGATCACAGTATCACCACAGTTACACCATCACATTAACTGTTATGTTCTTTACCTCCTTTCTTGTCACCAGACTCAGCTAGCGCTTGTTTTTCTTCTAACAGCAAACATTTAAGCCTGCATTTTCCTACACTAGATATAATTCAGAATGACAGAGCACTGTAAATATGGTATAAAAGGGCTTTGGACAGGTGCAATAGCTTGATACATCTATCAAAATCTCTACAGCTATCAGAGTTTGGGGAGAGGGAGGTAGCAGGAGTTAAAAAAAAAAAGACACAGTAGGGGAGGTGGCAGCGATGAGAGTGAACTTTCATACTGAGGTTATGGAGCGAATCTACTTTCTAGACATGACAGGAGAAGTGGGAGCCATGGGGGACATCTCAGAGATATCCACAGCGCAGCCATAAATCTTTATCATTCACAGCTTACTATGTCTGATATCTCTATTATGTGGTCTGCAGCTGACATCGATTAAGAAGCCAAACTAAATTCTTCCAAAGTCCAACCATTCATTATAGGTAAAACTGAAAAAACAACCTCTTTCAGATGTGACTCATTTTATCTGCAACTACACCACCCACTTTGACTGGAACAATCAATTCAGATCTTTTGACCTTTTGAGCACATTAATGGTTATGGAATAAGCATCATGCAAAGTTGAAGACCGCTATAAATCAGTGAAAGTAATGTTAGGATTTTATCAGCCAAAAAATAGACTTTTGGAAGTAGCAAAACCTACACCTTGTTAATTTATATTAGTTTATGTCCCTGCAGTGCTGCAGTCTCTCCTCCTTTTCGTGCAAGAGGGGAAAAATGTGGTTTCATTACTCATGCAGGCCAAAACAGATTGTCCTTTTTTCTGTGTATCTTCACAGAAACAGTCTGAGAGAGACACGCTGGGAGACGTGGAGTCCTGAGACCCTGGGTTATAGTTGAACACAGGAGCCACAGTATCCTGAGTCAGCTGTTACTACTACTGGCATCTCCAGTGACTCAGTCTTTTCAAAGAAGCACTTACAGTAAATATCATTAGAGTCATAATATTATAATGAGCACCTGTAGATAAGGTAGTTCGCCTGCTGATATTTTTAATGGGGCCACAATATTACATTTTCATAGAAACATGCTCAACAACTGTGCACCAGACCTTTCCTGGCTTTTGTCTGGATGAACTGTGACCACACCTATTTACTGGATTTGGGGCCAGCCTTGGCAAGTCCAAAGTGCCTGACTGGACTGTCAGCAATTCCTCTGATGCCACCAACACAGCATGTCACATTTTGCACTGTCTGTTAATGTGAAATGTAGATAATACATTTACAAAGGGGTAATTAGGCAGTATAAAAATGTTTAAGGAGTTCCAATGTTTGCTATTGGTTTAATACTGATCAGTCCACTGAAATAAGCAATGGCATCAGTAAAACATGATGCCAAATGTGATTCATAGGGAAAAAAGGTTTTCCTCTTTATTTTTCCATGCTTTCTATTTTTAAACTGTGTTGTATGCTGTGTCTTCGCAGTTTGCTTCGGAGAGAAAAGTCATCACTGTGATTATTAAAAAAGGTCATGTCCATATATTGTAGTGGCCAACAAGCTGCTCAGCTGTCTATCATAAAAACACCAGACTTAGTCGATTAATTAAAGTACAAGTGGTATAACTGGAAGCCATGGTGTTTAACAGTACTTTTCATACAAAACGCTATGTGCCTAGAGTACTTAAACTCTCCAAGTCTTCAAGCTGAAATGACAAGCAGTTGGCTTGTCTCAGTGATAAGCCTGATCCATGTCTCTTTTTGGCCAAAAAAATTCAGGCAACTGATCTCCCTCTTACTGTCAATACTCCCTAGTTCCTTTTTTTTACTTATCCATTTTGGGCAGACTACTCTGAGGCTATAAGATGGTTTTATATCACGTTTCTATCAAAGGGAAAAATATGAAGCAGCTCCTCAGTCAGTTGAGCAGTGACATGGAGCTGAGTGAAGGAGAGAAAGTTTGAAATTCTGATCTGTAAAGTGTGTCAGCCTTACATTTGTTAATCTTATGTTAAAAATAATTTCTACATGTTAAAGAAAATATATATAGGAGCACTATAAAACCTGTTACAGAAAAATTAGCTGAAACTCCAGGATTATAGTACAGGTCAAAGTCAAGAAATGTACTGTAAAATTAAGTGTATGGGTGTCTCTTGTTTTCACAAAGTTTTTATTTATGAACATCACACTATTTTCTTCACCGACACTGAATGACAAGTACAAATCACTGCTGCACATAGAAGGAGCTTTTCTAAGAGTGTTGCCTTTCATTATTCACTTCCCGCTGCCCATTATGGTCTGTTATCAAGAAATATTTATTACACTTACAAATTATGATGATTGCAGGGTGAATTACTAGCTATGCCTCTAGTAATCTAACTTTTGACTGCTTCTGTATCTGATTACTTAGACTACAATTTAAGCTGTAGGACAGCTGTACTTCTCATCTCCTGGAGAGTCTCTTGCATCAGGCTGACAGGCAGAAAATTAACATGTTCACAATGAAAGAAGCCATTTACAAATGCCAGTGAATATTTCAGATAGTTAGAAAAGAACCACTGAAGTTTCTACAAAACACTACTAGAAACCAGTCCATTGCTAGAAACTTGGCTTGGGCTTATCTGAAAAAATTCTTTTCAGATAATAGTCATGAGAGTCAAGAACAAAATGTGTAATTTAAAAGGAACATGCAGCAGGACTCTGTGGAAAACAACAGCAAAGAAAATAAATATATAAACAACAGGTTGTTGGAAAACAGCTACTCTCTGCCATTGTTTTCGCTGTGTATTGCCAAAATGCAAAATCATAAGAGGATGCTCTGAGATCAGATGTCACCACTGATTTGTTCTGCTCTTATTGAATCTATTATGTGAGATTTCACTCAGCAACAAGTAGCAGACAAATAATCTGGATGTAATGCCGGTTGTATCCCCACAAGTGAAGCACATCATTACTGTTTTTATTTGAAAAATGCAGAAGATAATGCTTGCTGTTTCTTTGACAGTGAGGGGTCGGTGACCTACACCTACATACAGAGCTTTTGGATGTGCTCCACATAGAGTGGAAAAGCATAAGGTGTACACGTGACAAGCAGGACCGTAAGGAAATAAATGGGCAGCTGTGGTGTTTTAAAAGGATGAAAATGCTCCATGTAGCATTACAGACTGAATTTTTAATCATCCAAGAAAAAGCTTGACTCACAGTCTATCAGTCAATCAATCAATCATAAATCAGCATAATGGCTTAAAAAGTGAAACATATTTTGCTTCCACCACAGTCACAACTTTCCCTTTTAAAGGTTTGCTGTGGCCCTTTTTTGTTTGTAGTACTGAAAAGAAATGCTTTTGTTGTCCTGCTGCTTTCCCCCATTGCCTGCGGTGTTGGTTTAACCTTCCCAATTGAGGGTCAAGAGTGTTTTCTTAAGTTTGGTATCTCTGTCAGACACAAATAAAGAGGGCAGAGAAGAACTGAGGCTGGGAGAAAAACAAGGAGATGGATATTGTGACAGGGTGATGGATAGTGGAAAAGTAGACGGAGAAATGGTGAGGTTTTATAGCCGACACATGGACACAGGAGGAACACAAGACAAAACCATACATCACATGAAGAAAAAAGGTAAGTCAGGACTCTGAACCTTACTGTGAACCCTCACCAAGCAGCTGCTGACATCCTGACAATCCTCACTGACTAAGAGGCTGACAAGGGGTCTGACCAGGACTGACTTTCCTGAGCAGACTCCTAGTGCAGAAATGCACAGTGAGAGAGTTAGAAACTAAAAATAATGAATAGAGTGAAGAGATGAGGGCGAGAGAGGCATGGAGTCCATTAGGATTCCTACATACAGTAGCAGGGAAGAATGAATAATCCTGGCAAATGCTCACTCACCTTCCTCCCTTTTCCTCTGTACTTTCCAACAGGGTGCCACCCAAAGGACTTTTGAACCTCCATCCTAGTAACCATGACCTATAATTAATGCAAATAAGGAATTACTAGCTAGAAAGGCACCCCACCCTATAATGTGTTGGCAGGCAACACCACATTCTGTGTAGGGTTGACTTGCCCATTCAGGCTCAGCGCATGAGAGCTTGAATAAATGGGTTACAGCTCTTCATTCTTCACTAGCAGTGGATGGTACCATGCAGATTTATGAACTGGAGTTCTGCTGTCTGGTGATGCACCAGGTTTTTGTTCATCATATCTTGTCTAAAGATACAAAATGTTGTTTTACCCCACAACAGTTTGAAAAACCGTATCAATGCATCACAAAATCATACTATGGAAATACTCAGCTATGCAAGAACCAGAATAAACTGGTATCAAAGGCTGCTATACCAAGAAGAAGCAATTTATTTACAAAGCAATAAGGTGAAAAGCTTTTCCACCTGACTGCATAAAAACAAGGTGAATGCAACCCAAAACACAAAGGGACGACCAACAATCAAACATCCAAAAATCATATGTGACTAGTCTGGACAATGAGGCAGGCTAGTGCATCAATATGCTTAAACTATGCAAATGTCACCCACTCTCCAGGCAACTTAATACACAGTCCAATTTAAAACTGGCCTACCAGATCAATCAAAGGCCAGACTTTGCTGCTGCCTCTCAGGTATGCTCTGATCCAGGAAGAGGTGCCCAAGTGAACTTCCAGGTCCCTTTTTAAAAACTCCGCCCCTTGTCTGGCTCCAGTGGTAATCCTCCAATTACCTTCCCCACTACAGTGCTTATCTTTATCCAGATATTTTCTGGTGTGTAATGTTAAGAAGCTTTAGACGGATATTGCTGTGTAATTGACAGTACTGAGTGAGTCCTCTAGTTTTATGACTCTTCTGCTAAGGATGTCTAATATATCACAGGGAAAAAAAAATCAGCGATATATGTATCATATTGCACCTGGTAGCATATTTATTGTTTTCATGCTGTCATTCCATTCAGATAACTTCATGATAATTGGTGTCTTTAAAGTGACTGATGAGGCTCTTGGGAAATTACAGGAAATGGACTGTGCCATTATCCTGTAATGGTCATGTTTGGCCACAGTGGCCACTGTTGAGCCAGAGTTACATTGTCTTGCCTTAAAATAACCATTTATTTTTCCCCCCCAACCCAATGAAAATATAAATGGAAATAATATAATTATCTTAGGCTTGGGAGCATATCCTTATTCATTCATCATTATACTTCTATTCGTACTTAGTGAGGGCAGGTCTTTGATAGTGAAATGATTTTCTGAATGTCTGTCAACAACCTTAGAATACATTGGCTTGGTTGTATAGCTTTATCCACCCTGATAAAACCTGTCCAATTTTAGTTAAAGAATAGAGTAAATGCTACAGAGTCACAACATTGCTGTAACATTTGTACATTTCTAAAAAGACATGGAACAATTTGGCATTGTTCATATTTCATATCTAGCCTAAAGTACTTTCAGCCTTCTAATAGCCACCTATTGATTGACTGATCATAATCTTAGATGTCTGGGCTCTCGCCACAGTGTTTGTCCCTGCACACTCCCACACAAAAGCATTCAGGAGCTGTGGGGAAAGTCATTGTATTTTTCATACTATACATTCATTCTTTGGTTTATTGACTCATTGCTCTGCACTGCAATCCAGAGAACAAATTATTGTTGTGGCAGTTACAAACTTGATGAATGGTGCTATTTCTAAACAATTAACAATGTCCATTAAACACTGTCAAAGTGGCAATTACAAAGGCTAAAACGGTACTAAACTCTCAGTGGAATTGTTCACTTCACTTCTTAGAATTGCTCACTGACTAACATTCATCCATCCATTTTCTATACCGCTTAGTCCCAAATCGGGTCACGGGCACTGAATAACAACATAGTTCAAACAACAGCCTGCTATTTGGCTTTAAAACTCAAAATTTGTTTTTATTTTAACGTCCACACAAGTGTAGTGATAAACTACACTTTTGTTTTTCTTTCACAGTCTCCTTTGCCATCTCTACCATACTCCCCTCCATCTCACATTCCCCTCTCCTCTTCCCTGTAGTGTGAAGTAAGAGTTAGACTAGTGAGGGAGTCCTGTAACACAAGGTCAGCAGAAATGAGAACCAGGCTCAAACTGACTCAGCTGGCTCATTTCTCCTTTCAGTTTTTTTCTGCTTGACACCAAAGAAAAATGTGAAACTCACCAAAAATAGCAATTCATAGGCCATGAGTCGAACAGTCGCGGTGACTGTTTTTCCTCCATGAATCCTGCTAGTCACGCAAGTGGCACAGCACAAAAAGGAAGCAGAAATTTACTCCATATTAGTTTGAGTTGCTTTAATTTTGATAAATTTACAGTTTGCAGTGGGAGTTGAGAGGAGCATTCTGCAGGCCAACAAAGAAACTCCTTAAAAACCAGATGGATCATGGTGATCAATCATAAATCAAGGGTATTTCTCTACATGCTCATGGTCATTTCTACAGTTAGCAGAGAGGGTGAACAGTTTCACTGGGGCCCGCCTGACCTCGGAGCAGAAGTGGCTTTAGCTAACTTCCAGGTCTTGTTTGTAGTTCTGGAAATCTGTTCAAAGAGATTTCTGGGTAAATCGAACAACAGACTTTTGAACTAAAACATTCTCAACTGACCATAAACAAGAGTATGACACTGTTGACTCAAATAAAACAAAATGCTAAATGATGAACACTGTCACGGGCAAATTACAAAATAGGTGTTTGTGGCAGATATATCTTCAAGCACGTGAATAATAAGAGAAAGCAGTGAAAACACATATGAAAATGAAGCTTAATTAATGTCTGTCAGTTATCCTTTTCAGAACATAGAAATTTGTTAGTGTCAAGTTACAATACAAAACTGACCAGCCATCCAAGTGCAGTTCTAGACTTAAAATGAAAACAGACTGTAGTTTTATTTTAAAGTTTCACTGGTGTTTCATCAGAATGAAACAAATTTAAGCATTAAGATGAGGATCCTCTAGGCAAAAATATTCATATCTTTCAGATGTTTGCAGAACATTTGTAAAACACAATATTGTTTCACTTACGCAACAGATGCCCCAATTGGGTCTAATATTAACAGCAGCGTGTCACTGATATGAGGAATAATTTACACATACTCTGACAAATAACAATTCAAGAAACCCCTGCAGAACCTAAACCTCAGTTAAAAGTTACTTCCAGAGCTGCTCCTACTTGTGTTCTTGTTTTTTCTTTTCGCTACAGTGTACGTGTACTCTGACCTACATTCACGACTAGTTCAGCAACTGATGCGGCTCATTCATATTTTTCTCAGGTATAAATTCTTGTGCACAATTCTTCACACTATACAGCTACGGGCATATTTTGCTCTGTAGCAGTAGTAGTGTATGTGTATGCGCATTTACTGATTCATCGTAGCTGAACCGATTAAAGTCAAAATGAAAGAACTCCTGGATACTAATTACATCATGGGCTAAGTCTATTAGGATGTCAGATTACGAAGACCAAATGGAAAGAAGGCATGGTCTTTAACAGTGTGTTGACATTTGTGGAGGATAGGATTTATCAAACTATATCAGTATGTCTCTCTTTTCAATTAAATAAATTCTAGGGCTGTCAGTAGAAGTGATGCCTTGTTAACAATTTAAAGTTGAATTGAAAATCTGCATTTGTAGTCCACTGAAAGTCAGAACTCATATGCTGCTGTAAGAGTGGCATCATTTGGTTGTGCATTAAACTCATATTTAGGAATGTTTTACATATCTATTTACTTGTCTTTATTTTCTTTCATTCATTCGTGTGAATCCTTTTTATGTCCTGAAGTTGAAAACTGTCTTTCTAAACCATTTAAATGTAACAGTTCTGTTACACTCCTGTACTGTATGTCTATCTCTGATCTGCTCTGACTCTAGACTTCTACCAAATTTCATATTTTACACTGGTCTAAACAGAAAGAAAATGTGTGTTTCAAATCATAAATATTATATATTCATGACTAAAGTGACTATCAAAGTTTAAGTTTGAAGAGTAATACATTTATTTAAAAGGTTTTTGGGGCCTTTAAAGGATTTGAAGAGGAAACAAACTTGAGTATAGGTAAAATTGAAATGTGATGTTGAAGTGAGTATTGGGCCCATCTTGTCCTGACAAATGACTCTTTCCACTGATAACACATTTACTGTATTTCAGGAGTTCAAGAGGTTTTCAATACCATGGCGATTATTACTTGAATACCTGATATATGTTATGGGGTATACGTTATCTTATATATGCATAGCACAGAATTGGGACTTTGCAGTTTACCACAACAGTCAGGGACTACCATTACATTATATTAAATGTCCTAACAAAACACATACACACAAACACCAATATCGTACTACAGCAAGGATTAAATTTGTGACTTATTATCATCCCCAGTGGCTAGACTTCTGCTTCAGACAGATTTCTCCCAGATTTTGCAACTACAAAACCTGCCAAGTATCCGCCTGCAGGAGCTGGATCGTGGCCAGGATCCGCTAGGGAGACTGTTGTGGGTCGTGTGTGTCACCCTGTAGTACTCTCTAAGTATGGGTGTGCACATTATTTTGAGTTGTGTGAAGTTAGTGAAGGAGTAGGCTGCAAAAGTCTTTGGACAGCATGGCTGGAAACACAGCTGTGTTGAGGTGAGCATTTAAGTGAAAGCCACAAGCCTTTTTTTTTCAAATATAGTTTAGTTACTGTGTTTTTAAATTAGCCAGATAAGTTATAATTGTATAATGCAGAATGATTAAATATGCATGTCTAATCAGCCTGTGAATTGTACCATTATACTGCCACTGACCAGAAATGTAAGAACATTTCTATATAAATATGTCAGCGTTCAAATATGGTTTCTATTTCAAATGTGAGATTTATCATCACCTCTCATTTCAACAGAAATGTATCCCTTGTGCCACAGGAGCTTCTGTCTTCTTTCTCTTACAGCTTGTTATAAGCCATGTTCAGTTGCTTCTGTACATGACAACAGAGAAACACTGCACGGCTGTGTGTGATGACCAAATGAGGCAGAAATCCAATGCAGCTATGTAAACAGGCCTGTGCTCCATATGAAATAAACATTTTGTTATTACTGCAATTAATTGTGTTTATTTGAGCTGGAAGAAGTGAATCCAGTGCCTGACTGGATCTTGGCTAGATCTCAGGGTTCCCTCATAACACTAACTTTTACTGTATCTTGTAATAGAAGCTTTACCTAGGAGCAAATGTAAGAGGGTGCTGGGGGGTGGGCATTTCAGGATGGAAAATCAAAATTCATTGTAACAATTTACAGTATATAAAAGTAAAGTCAAATGTCATAGCATGTGTTGTAAATCAGTCTATTACTATAACTGTGATACCAAGCTATACATATTTTGGCAGTGGTTAGTGGACAGATAATCTCAGATAATCTTTTAATGTGTCTTCTTAAAATTTTCTTTTCAGTTTTATCCTTTAAATTTAATCTTGGCTTTAACATCTTGCAGCCTGTTCACTTATACCTTCAGGTGATTGATTGCTGTTCTTAAAAGCCATGTGGTAACTGTGCTAAACATTTGGCTCCGTCTCCTGGCTTACTGTCCTCATATGACCAGCTGTGATTCTGCCCATCCCAAATGACAGGATTTAACTCCAGCTCTTCAAAGTTACCATTCACTGCACAGATATCTGGAACACTGTCAAACTTTAATTATTTCTTGGTTTGAACTCTGAAAAAAAAAAAAAGATTAAATCTGACTCCAGTCTGTCAAAAAAGATCAGTAGGAATTTATTATTTGCTTTAAATACATGTACAACTCTTTTTGTCTGCCATTGCGCCACTCATCAGTCCCTGGCAGTCATCTCCAACAGAACTCCAAATGGAGCTCCTCCAATACAGAAATGTTTCCGAGACAGCGTGATTAAGAGTTGTATTGTGCTGGATTTAGGCTCATGGCACGTGTAGCTTTTAGCTCAACTTCATGCATTGCATGAAGTGATTTGTAGGGTTATGCTGAACAAAGAACAGAGGTAGAGGCCATCTCTTGAAAACAAGAGGACATCCAATCTGAAATTACCCCAAATTATTCAAAACAGGCCTGGATGGATAAATACACATGGAAGAAAAAAAAACTGAGCTTTTTGCCTCATGCTACACTATAAAATGACTAAAAGTGGATGGGAATGATGAAAGTAAAAAGAGAAGGTGCAGATGATGAGTTAAACACATGGAACCTGAAAACACTTCATCATGTCATTGACAAGCTTGATGTGTGAATCACAAAAATAAAATGCACAGAACAGAGAGCTGACATGGAACATAAATGCTGCACTGGTTGCTAAATCTTAGTACATTCATCAGGGCTCATGCAGTCAGGCTTCTGCTTCCCACCTGTCTTGGCTCATGTGCTACATTTGTCCAAGTTATTCTCCACTTGTTTATGAGAATCCCAGCCTGTTCAATGAACATTATTTCTGTTGTGCTGAGATGAACAACTTCACAGTATAATGCATTTAAGTTAGTGACTGGTGTAATTGACATTAGGAAGCACTTTCTTTGAAAGACACAGAGGTGATCAGCAAACAGCACTGTCCCTGAAAAACAAAGGGAATGTGCTGCTGGGCACAAAATGCTATTGGACTGTTGAAGAATCAGGCATTCAGATTGACCACAGGTTTCCATCCAGTTGTTGTTTTGGATTTGGGAGGATCTACAATTTGACAAAAAAGTAACTGTGAAGGTAACAGAACAACATATTGTCTGCTTTGCCCAGTTTCCTACTGTAGAAATGTTGCAGCAAGTCTTCTTTTTATATAAATAATGCTGAAAACACAAAAGTATTCCTTTCACTCATATCGGAACAGTCACAAGTCTCTAAAACCTAGGACACTCATACAATACATAGCATAGCCTGCTTACATACAAATATACATATATGCAAATACACAAAAAAATCATGTGGAATAATGATATTTCTGGATCTAATTTCATATAAAAATCTATAAAATAAAAGTAAAATTAAAAAAGTGTCATTTGAATTAGTGAGAAAAACAATAGTCCTCATTGCTTTCCATCGTGTGGAAATTCAATGAATCTGTGTCTTTGCAACCACACCGTTTGTCTGTTCATGCGATTCACACTTATATCCAGAGGCCATTCAAAAAGCAGCCACTAGATGAGTTTAATACTGAAGTAGAAAAATGTCCACAATTACCAAGAGAGGAACAAGGTCCTTAGCTCTCTGGCCAGCCAGTGAGGAAACATGAAATATACACACTGATCTATCTACACACTAAGAGATCTCAGACTGCAGGGCATGGTAAGTGCACATTCCTGTGAAGAGGTCAGTTTATCTCTTAACCCTGATCAGTTCATGGAGACCTGCGTCACTGTGGAAGGGTGGGCTGGTCCTATCAACCTAGGCACATGTTCCACTTTGTGTGTTCCCATAACACTCATGGAAGTACTTCAAAGAATTCAAAATTTCTACCAGAAGTTGAGCATATTGTTGTGGGTTTGTTTACTGTCCGTAAGTCATATGATAGGATGCTTGAACCCTATTTGGACATTTGTGAAGCAATGTTTTCTGAAAATAACTGTACAACTAACACCTCACTGGCCTTCTTAAGAGCAGCCAGAAGCATGCTTCATCATGCTTTGTTCGGGTTGTCAGCCTTAAAGTTCTTCCTTAAATAGTTTTCTAGGTTTTCCATCATATTCTCATCTCGTGATCAGGACTCTGGTCCAGTGAGGGTTCCCTGGTGCTGATCATGGATGCTGAGGGACCTTGATTGACTCCAAAGGGAGAGACAGCTGGAGACCGAGCTGCCAGTGGGGACAGAGAAGGGGAGAAACTGGGGGACATTGCTGCTGATGAAATGGATCCTTCATGACTGATAGGGGACCTGCGAAGTGAGGCCAAATGAGGGAATGTCCGTCCAATCACAGGGACCTTTGGAGGAACTGACATGGCCCCTGGATGGGCTACTGATGTGATGAGTGGTGGAGGGTCAATTCTAGGTTTAGGATCCATTTTGGGCTTAGGCTGGAAGGGTTGGCGAGGGTTCTGGCTCTGCTGGGCAGTTTCATCTTTCAGCCTGGCGATCTCTGTGAAGACATTAGCCAGAGGCTGGAACTGTGGGCACCAGTTAAGGAGATAATCCCAGTTATAACTTCCACGCAGCTCCTCATCACTGGCGACAATAGCTGTGAGGGAACCATCCACTGAAGGTTTACCATCTTCAGGGAAGGCATAATCCTTGGGGAGAGAAATGTTAAGGCCACGGCCTACTCCCAGGTACCCACCTCCTTCATCCCTATAGACAGGGAGCTGACCAGAGAGCAAGGTCCCACTGAGACTGCCTCCCAGTTTCTTTCCTTTGAACCAAGAACTGCCCTCCAAAGCTGCAGGCTCACAGGAGATATCAGAGAGCTGGTCAGCATCTTGCTGAATTCCCGAGTCTGGCCCTCTGGCTGAGATGTGCTCCTGCATGGATGAGGTGATGGAGGCGACACGAGGGTACTCGTTTATCATCCTGATTTCATCATCCTCCGCTGCCTCAGCTGATCCTCTTCCACTGGAGTGAGAAGGATCCAGGGAGCCTCCTCTAGTGTAGGGACCACCACCGGCTCCACCCTGATCTCCAGCATATCCTGGTAAAGCCTGGTGGTAGAGCCTCTCTCCTCCTGATCCTGAGTTGCAGTCATCCAGTTTCTGCAGAGCAGTTCCTGAAGCGACAGTTCCTGCATCCTGCCCTTTCTTTCTCCTGCGTGATTTGACCAGGAACACCACCACAGCCATGACCACAAGCAATATGATAAAACCAAGAGACACAGCAATGATACTAATCAGCAGGATGTTGACATCAGGAGCCAGGCCAAAGTTGGTGTTTGTGACATCGATGGAGACACGGGCTGTAGAGAAGCGAGATGTATCCAGAGGACTGTGAGCTTTAACATCAAGAGTCATGAGCCTGGTTTCCCTCTTGGCTCGGCCTGAAGCACTGTTACTACTGCTTCCTGAATTGTCCAACTTGAGGAAAATCACCCCAGTGGTTTTGTTTACCTCAAAGTACGGAGAGCTGGTGGGAAGAGAATAGAGAACAATACCATCAACCCCTCCATCCTCATCATTTGCTTGGACCTGGCCGATGCTCTGGCCTTTCTTGGCTCCCTCTGGGACTTCAAAAGAGAAATCAGAGGATGTGAAGAGCGGGTCATACTCATCCTCACCCGTGACAAACACCTGTACAGTCACAGTGGCTGAGTGGTTTCCTGAATCTACTGCCAAAGCCACAAAGTTAAAGGAGTTGACTTTTTCATAGTCAAAGGGAATTTTACTTCTGATTTCTCCAGAGTTATGATCCACAGTAAAGCTGTCTCTTCCAACCCCAGACCGCTCCACCATGTAGTATTTTAGCTGGCCAAAAACCCCTGTGTCATGGTCTATGGCATGGAGAACAGTCACAGCTGAGTTTACAGGTTGGTTTTCTCTGATACTAGCTGTCAGAACTTCAATGGGGAAGAATGGATGATTGTCATTTACATCTTTGACCTCAACAATGACTGGGGCTAGAGCAAAGTGTCCCTGTCCATCTGTGGCCTGGATGATGACAATATGTGTGGACTGGTGCTCACGGTCAAGTGCTTGCTGAAGCCGCAAGGCTCCAGTCCACTGATCCATGGTAAATAAGTTCACCTCATCACCAGAGCTGATAGTATACTGAACCTCAGCATTGGCAGTTGAGTCTGGATCTGGCAAACAGACAAAAATAGAGTGCAATGAATTAACTGAGAGATAACATGAAAACAAAACTGTGAGAAAGGGAGAGAAAATGGGAGATAACAAGACAAAAAAAAAAAAAGACTGCAACCCACCTGTAGCAGTCAGACGTATGATCTCAGTCCCAGCAGCAGCTCCCTCACTCAGTGACACTGTGTATTCTGCTCTGCTGAACACCGGAGGGTTATCATTCACATCACCAATGGTTATCACAGCAGCAACACTAGAGCTCCTCTGGGGCACACCGCGGTCTGACACCACCACAGTAAGGGTGTAAAGTGGCTTGCTTTCAAAGTCAAGTCCCTCAGCCAACAGCAGAGTCCCAACAGTTTGAAAGCCCCGCCCCTCCAGGAAGCGCACACTGCTTTCGATCTGGAACACATTTCCGTCATTCCCGCTGGCGATAGCAAAGTCAAAGCCACAGTTTTCTCGAGAGAGGTCACTGTCAAAGGCCTCAAAAGTCAAAACTGTTGACCCTGGTATGCTGTCCTCAGAAACTGTAGCCCTGCAGACAGAAGATTGTTATATGTAAGGACTGATGATGAGGGTACACCATAAAACATCCAGCATGTAATCATTGTTGACTGACCTGTACTCAGATTGATGGAACACAGGAGCGTTGTCATTGATGTCAGAAATTTGAATCTGGACTGTAGCAAGAGAGGAGAGCGAAGGTGAACCTCCATCACGAGCTTCAATGACAATATTGACTGATGGACGCCTTGGGTCGAATTCAGCTCTGTGATTGATGAACAAGGTTCCTGGATATTGAAGGAAATGAGAGGGAGTCACACACTGTGCTGGAAAAGTTACTTTCACAATGTAATGAATTACATATTACTTTCAGTCAAAACTATAGCGAGCTATAATATATCAGGAATGAAGCCAAGGTTGTCTACCATTGTTGGGGTCAATGTAAAAACCCTCCTCAGTTGATGACACCACTCTGTAGGTGATCCTTCCATTCTCACCAGAGTCCCTATCTGTTGCTGTTAATGTAACAACAGCACTTCCAGGTGGCGTGTGCTCTGGGAGAGTTACCTATGGTACGAAAATGTTGATAAAAGCACTAAAACATCTTTTTCAAAAAGGGGAGGATTCCATTTTATATTGCAGTTCCTGTTTTCCCTGAACTTGTGATAATGTTGAGGAGGTGTCAAGACATCAGAAATTTAAACACATATTATTTGAATTTGGTGCCAAGTAGTATGCGGTGTATACATCAGATTACTTTTTACACTTTATGTTATACATAAAAAACAACATACAAAGAATGAAGAGGAACTGATGTCAAGCATCTGTCTTTTAAAGTGCATTTATGATTTTGTGAGAAACAGATTTGCACAATACACACCCTGAATGGAACCAAAAGTACCTGCATAAAAAACATTAGCTTGATTTCAAAGCCATCCTACCTGGTAAAGATCATGGGTGAATGCAGGTGCATTGTCATTAATGTCCTCCACCAATATTGTAATGTTAGCCTCAGTTTGATGCTGACTGTCTGTGGCTCTGACAGTAAGGGTGTACCACGTCTTCTCCTCAAAGTCCAGGGGGGCAGTGAGCGACACACCTCCATTGTAGCGGTGAATTCCAAACTTGCCTAAGGCTGTTGGGTCTAGATGCAAGGAGTAGGAGAGGGCAGGACTGGAGTCGACATCATTACCCGTCACAAGAGTGATTTCTGTGCCAATCAATGTGTCTGATAGAGACAAAAAATGCATAAAAATCTGTTAGCTGCATTCAACTTTCAACAATTACTGTACTGTATGCATAACAATAATCAATAACTACACATCCTTAGACCTGAATAAGGTTTGCCTGGTGGCAGAGTTTGTTTCTTAAATTGAATGTATTTGCTTAAACCGATATATACAGAACTGGAAAGTACAAAAATCCAGCAAAAGTAAAATACTTACTCTCTGGGATGCGGAGTTCTTGGGGCAAAGGAATAGTGGGACTGTTGTCATTTTGGTCAATAATGATCACTGTCAGTGTTGCTGAACCAGCCAGTCGTGGACTTCCCCTATCAGTTGCTGTAACTACAAGCCTGTGGGTGGGTGAAAAAAAAGAGGTTTTCCAAAAAGTCTTGTTTTGTCCCTTACGACATTTGCAATTTCAAAAGTATATTTATATTGTCGGTGATGACAGAGAATATAAATTGATTTCACATAAAACACACACAAATTATAAAATTTTACAGTCGTTGAAGAGTTGTTTTGCATCTGGCATGCAGATATCGATTTGCATAGACAGATCTGTTCTCACTTGGTCTGGGTAAAGATCTCACGGTCCATGATGGCTGCTGTGGTGATGCTTCCTGTCATCGGGTCAATCTTGAACAGGCCGCTCATGCCTGATGACTGGATGGAGTAGGTCACCTGACCATTCTGGCCCTGGTCCACATCCTCAGCCATCACCTGGGAGAAGGTGTAGGAGAGGGATATAAAAATGAGAATTTTTTTTAACCCTTAGTGAAATACCAGTAAAACAAACACCCATATGGCACTTATTGATTGTGCAGTTTGGGGAGCACCTGTATAATTGGCATTTCATATCCCTGTGCTTCTCTCATGTAGGCTACATAATTTTGCAGTTGGAAGCGTGGAAGATTGTCATTGACATCCTGCAGGATCAAGTTAATAGCCATGAAAGATGTGGAGGACACAGTTTCAGCCTTCACAACTAGACGGAGTCTGGGGGTGTCTTCAAAGTCCAGTCCCTTGGAGCTCTCCACAAAGACTTCACCTGGAGGACATCCAGATAAAGGAAGATATGTTTGGAAAATGAGGATCAGGAGGTCCTCAAATTGGTATGTTTGTATATTGAGTTTTTCAAAATTTTAGTGGCAATCTGATTTATTACTTAAAAATACTTTTATTGTAAGTTTCACCTGTTGAAGAGCTGATGCTGAAGGCCTGCTTTCTGTTACCACTAAAGAGGCTGTAGCTGATACCCTTATGTGTGCCATCTGGGTGTTGAGCCTGAGCCTGAGCCACAGCTGTGCCTGGATTTTGAAAGAAGATCAGAGGAAAACATATGATAGCAGAGAGATTGTCAGAGGGCATAAAAGCACAAATTTACTGATCCATAATAATAAGACTGTACTAATGGTCAACCTTTTGCAGCATTCTCCTGTATGCTGACGTCTCTGGCATTCCTAGAGAAGCGAATGCCATTGTACGCCACCTCCTTCACATAAATCACCACCACACCCTGTGCAGACTGAGCTGGGCTGCCTTGGTCCATAGCCTCCACAATCAAAGTCCTCTGAGCCTGAGTCAGATCTCCCAGTGGTTCAGTGGCCTGGATCTCCCCAGTCAGGGAGTTGATGCTGAAGCCCTTCACTGGCATAGCAAAACGGTAAAACACAGAACCATTAGCTCCAAAGTCCTTGTCCTCAGCCTTCATGGTGGCCAGAACCCGCTGGGAACGCCTGCTGGACACTTCAATGACCAGTGGATCCTGGATGAAGAAAGGAGTGTTGTCGTTGACATCCAGAATGCTGACTGTCACCTAGAAGGAAGGTCACAGATAGGTTGAGCGTAAAATTTATTGCTAATGTATTGAGCATAAAAATACTCAGCAAAGGTAATCTTCTCCTAAATCCCACACAAATTCAACACTTCCAACATCGAGCTTCATTTACCTGAGCAGAAGCATTCTTGGGTGCAGCAGGTGAAAGGTCAACAGCATACACCTGGAAGTTGTATGAGGCCATTTTTTCTCTGTCCAGAGATGCTGATGTGGTGATATGACCAGTGTTCTCATCCACAGTGAATGCTCCATATGCATCTCGGCTAAGGAAATACAGAACCTTCCCATTCAAGTGATCATCTGCATCTGTTGCTGACACCTGAAAATAGACCAATACATATTTATGATGAAGTTACAGACAAAGGAACACATGTTCTATAAAAGTAAAATGTATGTATGCTAATGAGATGTTTCATAAAATCATATATTCTGATTCTCTGATCATCTTAACTCTCATTTCTGCTTACCTGCAGAACTTGTGTACCCTCTGCAGCATCTTCTGATACCTCGACAGTGTAGCTACTTTTGCTGAAGACAGGGGTGTTGTCATTGACATCCAGCACTCTAACTTCCACTGTGACAGTAGTGCTGAGAGCAGGACTGCCTTTGTCCGTGGCCACCACCTCCAGAGTATATTCAGCCCTTGTCTCCCTGTCTAGGCCACGTGAGGTAGAAAGGGCTCCTGTGTTGACATGTAGGTGGAAATCTCCATCTAGGTCTCCAGCTGGATGGAAGGGATTCATGTGACAAAAGACAAACAAATCTTTTTAAATGCAAGAGATAGTTGAGTGTTAAAAAAAGAAAAGGAAGGGGAACATCTGTGCCAGCTCTGCACTTAAGTGAAAGTTTGAATGCGCTCCAGACAGATGCATGGAATGCCCTATTTTTGAAAAGTGTCAGGAGTGAACCTTGGGTAGCTGATCTTTCATATGGGAGGAACTGAGTCCATCACAAGCAATGCTTTAGTCCAAATATTTCATGTACTCCATCTTTAGTAAGTAAGACCAAATCCTGCACACTGTCAACTGCAATAACCTGTCAACAATCTATAAATATAAACTTGACCATTCTAAATTCTAAAATGTTCATTCACTGTCTTTCACAGGACATCATTATTTTCACAGCAGTCACAGCCGGATACAGCAATTACAGCTCTTCAAATCCATTCCAATAAAATACTTGGGATAGACAAACCACACTATTTCTCACCAGTAATCCTGTACTCCAGCTCTCCACCAGGACCTGAGTCAGGGTCTGTGGCCTTGAGAAAGTACAGCTCCACAGGGGCCTGGTTCTCTGGCACCTCTAGTCTGTACCATGGGTTTGCAAAAACAGGAGCATTGTCGTTCATATCCTTCACCTCCACACGGACTACAGCCTTGGCAAAGTTAGGAGGCAGCCCTCCATCCCTGGCATACACTGATAAGAGATGGAAGTTGTTATGCTAACGAGATGCTGGAACCCATACCAAGTTTTAAAGTAATGAACTTGATGTATTCTCTGGAAATAAATGAGCTTCAGCTTCATTAATATAGAACACGTCAAACTGAGTGCATTTAAGACAACAGATATTTTTGTACCAGTGAGTGTGTAGTGATCTCGTAGCTCTGTGTCCAGTTCCCTTGTGGTGGTGATGACTCCTGTCACAGGGTTGATGATGAAGCCTTCTTCTGTCACACCTCCGTATGTCACTTGGCCACTGGAACCTGGATTGAAACACAAGTCAAACACAAACAAAAATTAAGCAAGCAATAAAGATAAATGGCTACATTCAATATAATGTATAAATAATTATGACTAGCCACAAGAAACTAAAGTGTTCCTGTTTAGGGTCACAGTGTTCCTGTTTAGGGTCATATGGACTTATTAAGTAGGAAGATGATGTAAAACATGTGCAATTTGTTTTTTCCTGAGCTATTTTATCCTGAGTCTTATCTTGTTTACTTGTTTATTCATTGCCTTATGGAAGAGCATTGTACATACACATCGAGATCCTGTGTACCAGAGCCAAATTCCCTGTGCGTCCAACACGCTTGGCTATAAAGCCGATTCTAAGCTAAAACACTTTTATTTTCTAATACAAAAATAAATGCATCATCGCATCTCAAGATTGTGTGGCACCTACAGTATGTTTCTTTCCCTGTGCGTCCAACACGCTTGGCTAAAAAGCCGATTCTGAGCTAAAACATTTTTATTTTATAATACAAGAATAAATGCATCATCGCATCTCAAAATTGTGTGGCACCTACAGTATGTTTCCATTTCCTTCTCACTGTCTATACCTATTGTATATACTAAAATAACATATTAAAACCAACCTTGGTCCCTGTCAGTGGCCGTCACCGTCAACACTGTTGTTCCTGGTCTTTGGTTTTCCATCACCTGGGCCTCAAACTCTGCTCGTTGGAATACTGGAGCTTCATCATTCACATCAATCACCTGCACACACAGCACCTGAGTGGTGGAAAGTTGAGGTACCCCATGATCCTCTGCTACGATAGTCAGGTTGAAAACTTCTTGCTCTTCCCGGTCTAAGGCTTTAAGGATGGAAAGAGAGCCTACAAGAGAAAAATCAGTATTCACAGTGATTTAGAACTTTCTAAAACGTTCCTGAATAATTTTACAAAAAATCTCTACTCTCATATGAACTGTTTTGGTCTTGAAATAAGTGTGTTTAGATTTTTGTTGTGTGTGTGAAGATGTAACTTTGTGTAATACGTTAAAGAGGCAGTACTTGCATGCCTCGAGGACCAGTAAAACCAAAAACCTTTAGAGCTTTGCTTTATGAGAGATTCCATAGTAAGTAAGACACCAGTTACTTCATGCAATCTATGTTTATCTGGCACTTTGAAGATGCCTTCAAATGTGAATCAGTGTACTGCAGAACTTTATCAGTAAACATGTATGATTTCAGGCACACATACATTACAGCATCTGCTGACCTGTAAATCTGTAAAGCATTAGTTTGTGTGTGTATGTGTGTTTTATGTAAATTGAGTTGGTTCAGAAAGAATCAGACCCCCCGTGCTCCGGCTCTGGCTTCTCTCACTCTCCTCCTTTTTATGTCTATACCCCACACCCCTGTCATCAACCCAATGTCAGGAAGGGTCAGCCAAAGTGAGAGGAAATATGAAATGTGAATGTCTGCTGTTCACAGTGGTGTAAAAGTTCAGCTGGCATGCGCTGCCTGAGAGACGTGTGTAATTTATAAATACCACAGGATGCCAAACACATACATCTTGACTTGACTGTTATGTGAGGCTGAAGCTCTGATGTCTGTGAAGTGTTGCTAGTTTCCACATTTATGCCAAAAGACATTTAAGCAACAGATGCAAATCATTTACTCTGCTACTTCATCTTCCTCTGTAGTTAATTTAGTGTTACACTATCAGCCATATGATAAAAGTACTGTGTGGATTATCTTTTTTCAAAGTCTGATTCAACTTTACCTACATTTTATCTAAGATATGAAAGATTCCAAAAACACACAGCTGTCATACTCAATTTCTGGATAATACCACAGAAAAGACTTTTTTATTAATTTAATACACTTCTGCACCTATGAAGTTTTGTTTAGGATTTAACATATATATAAGTCTGACATGACTTTAATGATGCCCTGAACCACAAATACAGAATACCCAGGGTTCTCAAACTGCATGAATAAATTCTGTTATCTACTTTTGCAGCTACTTAAGAAGAAATGAGGAGACATATAAAACATAAGCTTTCAAGTGGTTAATAAAACCAGCAGCTGTAATGTGAAATAACAGAAAGTTTATATTGGTAAAGCAGGCATATAATTTAAAAGCTGTAATCACGTCAGTGATACCTCCAACATTAGCCAGGCAGTTTGGTAAATGTCTTAGCAATACAATGCTAATCTGCTATTACAGCTAATATTAACTGTAAGCCTGAGAAACAAACCAGAAGTGAAATCAACTCCTGCTAATGCACTGGACACTTGACAATAAAGACTTTCTTCCATCTGGTAGCTACATTAAATTCTGTCTTATGGATCCTAATCCCATCTCAGCCCGAGCTGAGCACACCCACACCCCACAGCCCAGCGATGATGAAGAGATTACGCATACACATATATAAAATATCAAAGGACGTCCATGTCACTAGCCTAAATAAATATCGGTTACCATGAACAAACCCAACAAGGAAAGAACACCAACTGAAATGCTGCACTACAGCATTGAAAGAACATCTAGTATTGTGGGTTATAGGAGTAATTAGTGTGTTAGCAGTGAGACACAGCAATTCAGGGGATATTTATAATCTTCTGGAAAACTTTGTTCATACAGGGGATTCCAAGGGTGTGATGCTGATTTGCTATCAGTCATGAGATCCCACAGAAAAAGGCCACATACTAGTTCTGCTGTGTTAAATCATTCAACACACAATTGTAATCACAAACAATTATGTGGTGATTTTACTCTATTCACCCCTTGAAGAAATCTCCACAGTCTCCTAGTACATCATTTTAAAATTACAATATTTTTAGATGTTGTTTCCCTCCCACCTAAAAAGAAGCCTACCAGTTGTTGGGTTGAGACTGAAGCGACCAGCACTGTTGCCTGCCTGGATTCTGTATGAAACACGGCCATTTTCTCCTTCATCTTCATCTTGAGCCATCACATACAGAATCACAAACCTGTCAAGAAAGATAACAACAAAATGTAGGATTATGTCAAGCAACCAAATTTTTCAAATTTCAAGCTTGGAGCCATGAAAGAAAATGTATGAGATTATTTTTAACAAGCTTCTTCAAGATTCTTCCTTTGAGGTAATTGCTGAAATGTTCATGAAGTTACCAAAACCAGACTACAGTCAGGCGTGCAGCTCACCCTACAGGTTGGTCCTCCATGACACTGACTGCAGCTGGAGAGTTGAAGACCGGAGTGTTGTCATTTTCATCTGTCACAAACACTTGGGCAGTCACTGAACCCCAGCGCCTCTGAGAAGGATCCACCGCCTGATCAGTGGCCCGCACCACCAGGTAGAGAGAGGGTGTGGACTCACGATCTAATGTCTGCCCAAGAATCAGTACTCCGCTGGAAGGATCAAGGGTCAGGAGGTCAAGTGTGTCGGGCCAGTAGTGCTCGATAGAGTAATGTAGCTCACTGTTGGGTCCACTGCCATCCTATAAAAGAGAAAGAAGATGAATTGACAGTGAGTGGAAATTTTGATCCAACAAGGGGGAAAAAAATCACAAATGTGAAAGTTCAGTGTTGACCTAATTATACAAAATAATATAAACTCAAGGTTTCCTCTACCCCCCACCTCCGAGTTTTCATCCATATCACACAGCTTTGTACAGTGGATGAAATTTTCTGTCCACATTTAAATCTTATGATGACAACTGAGAAAATTTCTTCCACTGATGACTGTGAGGTGTGGTTGAAAGCTCCAGGAAAAAAAAGCAAGTGGATCTTAAGGTAATATTACTTTATTAGAATCAAGTCCTGCATTCTAGGTGTAAAACATTTAAGTACTGAAATGATTACTGATTAATTATTTACTCAATCCACTGAAAACCATTCAATAATTTTGATGACATTTTATGACAAAAGATTAATTGAATAATCAGAAAAATAAGAAGAAGATTAACCAATTGAAAATAATATTAAAAATTGTTAACTGCAGGTGCATATTTAGAATATAAATGATAAACCAAATTTAGCATTGATTTATACTGTTTGGTCAAATATATATTCACAATGACAACAATCAGTCACTTGTAATCATTCTTCTGTAACAGAAAATATTTCAGTTTCCCACCTGGTCAACAGCTTGGAAGGTATATATGGAAGTCCCTGGCTCTATGTTCTCTGGGATCACAATAGTAACAGGGTCTTCCATGAACTGGGGCGTGTGGTCATTGCTGTCTTGCACATTGATATCTAGCTGCACCAGGTGGCTGCTGGGAAACACCTGGGAGAAGTCCGACACCTCGATGTGCAGAGTGAACCTTGACCCCCTTTCATAGTCCAGTTCGCGTACCAGATAAACATCGCCCTTTAAACGATCTACCATGAAAGTCCCATCGCGATCTGTCCCACCAACTACAAGGTAGGTCACCTGGCCTTCCAGTGTAGAAGATTCATGCTTGTCATGTTGGCGAACAGAGCCAATGATGGACCCCGGAGCAGCCCCTTCGACTGTGTTCAGGGTCAGTGAGAGCATGTTGGTCTTGGGGTCGGACCTGGAGGGGCTGAGAACCTGAAGGAAAAGGAACTGGAGTCAAATAGACTTATTTTCTCAGTATTTATTGCAACTGACTTAATCACAATGATTCAGATCACACCATGTACTACATATTGAAACAAATGAAAACATAAAATGTCCAGTATATATACACTACTGTTTCAACCGAGTGGTGGAGAAAAGTGTCAAGGTGAGTGCTGTGCTGAGTATGTTAATGGATCTATTATCCTTTGGTATTCTGCAGAAAAAGCAGCTAAATGACTCTGACCCCAGCCAGTCCCTAAACACAGCCTTGAGCTGTAGTCTGTTTCTGTTTTGTTTTTATTACTATAATAACCCTCACAGGCATTCTCATTATGCATGAAGACATTATGTTCAGTCCTTCCAGTACATATCTTGATACTACGGCATTCTGGCTTCAAGATGAGAGCCAGGGTTTGTGACCTTGAACAAAATAATTAAGGGTGTGATGAGAGGGAAAACTGTATGTATTCCAGTTCAAATAATGCAGAGCAGAAAGTGCAGCCTCCATATGCAGCAGGGTCTAGTCAGATGGGAAACAAATATGTGGACGGGGGCATTCGCCACGTTGAGCAATAGCCTCAGGGTTCAGATCAAACAACTCTGAAGATAGCAAACATATGCAGATTTTATCATCAATTCATCAGCAATTGTAGTGCACTGTTCAGTACAATTTGTACTTTAATTGGCTTTCTCCAATGGCTTATATAGGAATAAACTACTGTAGCATGTGCGCTGTAGTTGGTGGTGGTGTACAGCAGTATCCCTGTGTCTTATTCTACCACAGCTGTTTGAAATATTATCTTAAAATCATTATCTGGAAATGTTACCTCATGTGTGTTTGAATGTGTTGTTACAGTGAGAGTGTCTGAGTGAGTGTTTGTATCACTGCCTGCTACCGTGTAGTGCTGTATTTCCTTTCTCTCTGTGTGATCTGATGCAGCTGGCTCTCATCAAATTTAATCTGGGTGCATATGATTCCAAGGGGGCTGTTTCCCCTCTGTCTAATCTCGGTGTCGCACAAACAGGGCGCAGGCAAAAATCTAAGAAAAACACTCCTGCTGTAATTAGCATCCTTTTCCTTTATGAAATCACATAAAATAAAATCACTGAGCTCAAAGCTCCACAGTCAAAGGAAAGTCTGTGTCGGACCATTTTCTTTCCTGCTGCTGAATTCCTAATATTGTATGCTAATATTCAGGACTGACTCTCCTACAGAAAGTTCAGAACAATAACTCATTCCAGACCAGCTCCCTCCTGCAGCTTGGGGTTTCTCGCCTTGGGTTTTGGTTACCCTACTAACCTTCGGAGCAGGAAACACACACTAGATTGGATAGATGTTTTTGTTTGTACAGGCATAGGTTCAGTTTCTCTCCTTTTCATTTTTTACCTCCTTGTCCAATTCCTTTGACACTTAGACTGTTCACTTTGTGTGCAGTTTGAGGAAATTACTCCCAGCAAGGAATGTAAAAGGACTGAGGTAATGTGTAGATGTGACGGTTTTTGACTTGGTCACCAAATTGGCCTTTGTTTCTAATTGCCTTGGGGATATTCTTGAGAAGCAACAAATGTGTAGGTTCTTGTGAGTACAGCTGTAGGTTGACAAAAAATTTGTAAGATTATGTTTACCTGTACCCGTAGCTGGCAGGTGGAGCTGAGGCCTGGTGCGCCGTGGTCAGCAGCAGTCACAGTGAAGGCATACTCAGCTCGCTCTGCCCGTCTCAGAGGGGAACCGGTTCTCAGCTCGCCACTGGTCGGGTTAAGGGAGAAACGCTCTGCTCTGGAACCTTCAGAGAACATGACAAATATGGTTAAGTAAAAGCAATGTTGATGAAACATTAAGCAAACATAATTTAACAGCTGGACTGTTATGCAAATGTTGAGGGATGTGATTTAGATGTAGAAATGTAACTACTTACCTGATAAAGAGTAGTATATGGTTCCATTCTCTCCCTCATCTGGGTCTTTAGCTGTCACTGTCCCTACGACTGTCCCAGATGGAAGCCCCTCCAACACCTACAGTGGAGAAGGACTGTTATTCATAGTAATGTCTTTCTCCACCATGTTGTGCCTTTTCTATTTACAATCATTTCTTCATATGTTATGTTTCTATCTTGTCTTTATTTCTTCCCTAGCACTGTGATTGAAAGGAAACATTCAATTGTTGCTCATAACCAGGGCAATTTATATTCATCGAAGGAAACATTCAATTGTTGCTCATAACAGCTTTCAAAAATAAAAAAAAATACCCCACTGGAGAAGGTCTATAATGCACAGAGTTCAAGGCGGAACCAGGGCAATTTATATTCATCATTACATAATGTTAATCTCCTTCTCTGCCCTTGCCTGAGTTATCTAATCGCCCTTCATTCTAACCTGAAGGAGCAGCTCCCTGCCCGGCCTGGCATGAGCAAAGCTGGGGGCATGGTCATTTTCATCCAGCACAGTGATGTGAGCTGTGCCAGTGGCACTGCGAGGAGGCGTTCCCCCGTCCTGTACAACCACAACGAGCTGGTAACTGGACTGCTGCTCTCTGTCCAGGGCAAGGCGGGTGCTGATCTCACCTATAGAAACAGAGGAATACAAGGGGAATGAAGATTTTAGCTTGGATTACTTGATATAAATAGTTAGGGAGTAATGCACCCTGTTAATGTAACTGACAAACAGCATATCACAAGTGCTGCTTGTGGAGTAGCTGCATCCAGTGTAACACAATGACAACGAACCGCTTCATACAAGGGGAATGAAGATTTTAGCTTGGATTACTTGATATAAATAGTTAGGGAGTAATGCACCCTGTTAATGTAACTGACAAACAGCATATCACAAGTGCTGCTTGTGGAGTAGCTGCATCCAGTGTAACACAATGACAACGAACTGCTTCAAGGCTGCCATTCTTAAATCCTACAAAAAAGCTAAGTCATGGTGTTTGTCTTCACCTGTTTGTGAGTTGATCTGAAAGTGTCTGTCAGTGTGCAACAGCCTGTAGGTGAGTCGAGCATTTAGTCCTGCATCTCTGTCGGTTGCAGACACCCTGCCAAAACCCGTCCCCGCCAGCAGGTTCTCTCTGACAGCCAAGAACACCCTCTCCTGGCTCAGTCTGGGGGAATTGTCATTCTCATCAGTCACTGTCACCCTGACTGTGGCACTGCCAGTTCTCCCAGCTCCTCCTGGGCCTGAGGTGGCCAGGACGGTCAACAGGTACATATCTTTGACCTCTCGGTCCAGTGAGCTACGGACAAAAAGCCAACCACTATCTGGCATGATGCCAAAACCAGCAGCGTCACCATCAGGCCTAAGACGGTAGGAAATAGAGGAAGAGGATGATGAGGAGGAGCTTCCACCATTCCCAGAGGCCTCTCTGTTGAGTGCTCGAACCTGAAGGAAACGTGTGTTGAGAGGTGTGTTTTCCCTTAGCTCCACACGATAGGTCAAGGTATCAAAGTTGGGGCCTTGTGCATCTTGTGCTTGGATGTGGACCACAAGGGTGAAGGTGGAGCTAAGCTGAGGTGCTCCGCCATCCTTAGCAACCACTTGAAGGTCATACCGTGGGACGCTTTCATATGACAGACTCCCAATGAGACGTACCTCTCCACTTCCACGGTCGACACCAAACGTCCTCTGGCCACTGCTGCCTGCAGCTCCAGCAGACACCAGGTCAAAGCTGAGCTGACCATTATGACCAGAATCCTTGTCAGTAGCCTGAATGCGGTAAATAACAGTCCCCATTTTGGTGATCTCAGTTAAAAGGAGGGACTCTGATGAGGAGGGGAGGAAAGTGGGGGCATTGTCATTGACATCTGAAATGGTTATGTGTATCCGGCTGGTTCCGTATGTTGGAGGAGAACCGGAATGTGCCTGGATTTCCAGGTCAAGACTAGAGCAGGTCTCATGGTCCAGAGGAAGGGCTGTACGAATGGTACCAGAAGCGCTGTCCACTGTGAAGTAACCATCAGGGTCTCCAGAAGAAATAGAATAGAAGATATCCTTAGAAATGCCTGGATGTAAGACAGACAGAAAGAAAGGAGCAGAAAGCAATTAAAAAATACTGATGAAGTGATTATGGCTACATACATACATAAATAAATAAATAAGATCCCTGAGCCCAGGGTGGTGTCTTCAGAATGCCTAGTATTCAACTTGCAATGATATAAAACAAAGAAAAGTAGGAAATAGTTATCTTTAGGAAGCTAGAACCATCAAATGTTCAGCTTCAAGTAAGTGAATACCAAGGACATAAAAAATTGTAATACCACATCTACTTTTAGTAGACAGGGATGTAGTGTATTTATGAGTGCTAGGTGCTAATGAAGGGCTGGGGTCACTCACAGTAGGTGAGGGTCTGCATTCACTAAAAGCCATGTGCAGTTACACAAACCAAGACAAGTGTAATTCTGTCCAATCCACCACGGAGAACACTTCATTCTGACTCCCACTCAGAACTGCAGCCAACTGCAAATCCATTTCTTGCTCATTAATAGTAAAAAAAATAAAAGTCTGACCACAGTGAAAATAACTCCCATACTGTGTGATGGATGTGATTTCTTAATGAAGTGTATGTTCTTCTTTCTTGGTACAACTACGAGGTAAGACATCATATGCAGCACGCTAGTGCATTTCTGTCCTGGTACAGTAAAAACAGGGCAGCAGCGGTGAGGCACGTGAAATAAAGTGGTACTAAAATGACTAAAAGCGGAACAGACACAGATATAAAGTAGAGTGAAAAGAAAATGCTTTACTGAGGGGCATGAGTGTACAAGTGTCCTCACCCGCCTTGGTACCAGCGCGGACCACTCCCACCGCTGTCCCCCTGAGAACGTCCTCAGACACAGTGAAGAAATACTGCGCCTGCTCAAACACGGGAGCCGACAGCGAGCCTCCCACCACACTCACGTTCACCCTGGCATTGACTGGCGCTGTCAGACCACCGCCGTCTTCAGCTGATATCACCATGGAGATGATCGTATTGGCTTTGCCATGGAGTGAGCGAGAGAGAGAAATCACACCTGCAGAGGAAGAATGGTGAGTAGAGAGCACAATTTACAACCAGCAGGAACTAAACAGTGTGAAAACCTAACAGACCTTAAAAAACTAGATATTGAATGCAGAGAAAATGCAATATCTACAAATAAAAATTGCTCTTGTTTATTCTTCAGCTCTCTCATCCAGTTATACTAAGCTAAATTAATAACTTAATTATGAATTAACTAAATTAAAACATGATTTTAAGGTAGTTTAATCACATGTCAAATGTATTCCACAGTCAGCCTACTGCTTTTAGTTAGTGAGCTTTTAGAAGGGCTAGTTTTACTATTTTCTCCTGTGTGATTTAAGTTTTAACTATTGTTTTATTTATGTGATATAATAAACTCAATTCCTAAGATACTGCAGCATACAAATCGATTTTTCAATTCCATGAAATAGAAAAAAGTGTAATTGCAAACAGAACTGGGTAAATCTAGCTAAATCCTAATTTGAATCTTGCAAGTTATCCTCGACTAGAGATATACACACACACAAATGCCACATTGTCTGTCTGTCCATATTTGTTAAGTATGTATCTCATGCTTTTATGAACTCACACTACAGTCACACACACATACCTGTGTCCTTGTTGAGGGTGAAGAAAGCAGAGCCTCCTCCAGGTACTGTGCGGTAGGTCACCCTGCCATTTTCCCCAGCATCAGGGTCATTGGCTGTTACCTTGACAACGGAGGTTCCTGGGGGACTGTGGGTACTGAGACTGACTGTGTAGAGGACTGGATAGAAGGTGGGCCGGTTGTCATTAATGTCCACCACTGAGACCCGCACACGTGCTACTGAGCTCAGACCACCCTGGAAAAACAGATGTAAATATTTTGTTTGAATTAAATCTGATTCATCTATTGTGATAAAGTGAGGCTAAATAATAAAGATAAATATTTTAATTAAATCACACCCTCCCTTCATACACGGTTAACTCCTGAAGACAACATTTACTTTGTTTTGTGTCCCTTGGTGAAACGTGACAGTCTAGGACTTTCATTTAAGGAAACTATAACAACAGATTTATTTCACACTGTAAAGGCAAAGCAGCTGTAGAGAAAGATAAAAAGATGAGTTCTCTGTTGAATATCCCTGAAATACAGAGCAATCAAATGTTGCATGCACTTGCTGGCAAGGAGAACAGTTTGCACTCATTACACGGTATTTGTAGGCTTAGCTTTATGAGACTATTAAAAACAAGGATGGTCAAGACAAAGACAAGAAGAGACACCAGCTGGATGGAGCTGGGAATGTACTGCTCTGGGAGAGAAAACGTGCTGTCAGGGTTGGGTGGCAAGGGATACATAAAACGTGCTGTCAGGGTTGGGTGGCAAATTATAGATCTGAAATTAAACTGTACCTAAACAGGGATAAATAAAAAGAATGAGAACTCACACTACTATGACTAATAACAATACATGCATTACACAATGGTTATGCATCTTTTTCTTTATGTTTTTGATACTTTAAATGTGCATGGGTCTGTTGGGATCTTTGAGCAAAGAGTGTGTAAATGTATTCAGGTAACTTTAACTTAAATGGCATTACCATCAGAGTAAAATGTTTATCTGTTTTCCTACTTCTTTACCTTTTCCCTCCATGCACCCTTCCGCCCTCTGTATTACTATGATTGCTTTGACATGTTTTTGCAGTTCCCCTTGTTTTTTGGGTTTTTTTTTTAAGACACTTGATATGGGACAGGATGCTGTCTTCTTCAAACATGTCCCGAATGCCTGTTTGATCAGATTTATTTGAGTGCAGCTGCATACATCTTTAATTTGCCTTCATCCTGAAGCTTTGATCAGATGGAGCATTATACAGTCGCTGAGTAATGTGTCGTGTCATGGAGAACTAGTGCTTGCTGAGTCAAATAATTTGGTCATTTTGCATTAATAATTAACTAGGTTTTCATTATACAAAGGATGCAGTAGTTGGACAAGTAGCTTTTTGGAAAGTACACTTATTTATTGTCTGATTGAGATTAAGCTGAGAGGATTGATGCCATTGTCATGTGTATGAGAATATTAAAAGGTTACAGAGATTATTACTACCGATCACTACATTATTTACTGTTAAGGGTTAAAGTGCTCTTACTCCATCTGTTGCTGTGACAGTCAAGTCAAACTTGTCTATTCCCTCATCCCGGTCCAGAGCTGTGCTGGTGCACAGCTGGCCTGTCTTCTTGTCTATGGTAAAGTGTGTTGGCAGCATAGCTCCAGAGCCTGAACCCAAGGTGTAAGACACGACGCCAAAGGAACCACGATCCTCATCGATGGCTGACACCTGAGGGAAAAGAGACATGAGGTAAGACATGTACAGCCCAGTTGTGTCAAACAGCCTGTGAGACATAAAGGTTTCCAAAAGCATCAGAGCAACACCCAGCAGGTCCCAAAATGAGCGTGAAAAAAAAAACTACATGTCATAATTATTATATATGACCTAAGGGCCTTTCTGTTATCACAGCAATGTCCCATAATACAAAATATCCCCACCTGTCCAAATATCACACACCATAGCACTGCTCGTTATGATTTCCAGAGTGCTATAAAAACGAGCATCTGTGAGAGCAATTCATTTTTTTAGATCACATATCCAAGTCAAGTCAAATTTTATTTGTATAGGCAAATATCACAAATCACAAATTTGTCTCAAGAGGCTTTACAATCCATGCAACATACTACACCCTCTGTTTATAAACCTTTGAATCGGATAAGGAACTCAGAAAACTCCCCTCCCCCCACCTCCACAAAGCAACAGAAGAGGGATCCCTCTTCCAGGACGGACGGACATTCTGTATATGCTCTCTCCATGGTGTGTTTGAAACACTGGCTAAAGGACAGGTGGTGCAGTATAACCGTGGATACACAAGGGGGGGAACTGACAGGTGTCCTTTGGTAAAAAAGAAGGCGATGAGAAGGAAGGGGAGTGTTGACAGAGTTTGGGTCAGAGGTCAACAAAGGCACTTCCATTAATGCTGGAAGGTCGAGTGACACTAAATGTTTTCCAACTGACATGTAAATGAGATACAGACTGACCCACTTAAACAAACACTTCAGGCATTAGGTCCTACTCCATTTTCCTCCTACAAATATACTTCTGCACACATGCACAAAACACACACAAATACTAAATCTAATAACACACAAAAATCCCATTATACAAAGATATCCTTGCAAAACATAAATGAGGAACATTCTCTGTGCTATGGGTCCCTCTCCTCTGATTGAAGGTTAACCAGGTCCATCACATTGATTAGTGGCATTTGCATTCTCCCTCAGATCTCGAAGCCTTGAAGGCGAGTCGAGATCCAGGAGATCTTATGTCATCACTCTGTCACACAAGTAAAATGTTTCTAACAAAGGAAAAATGATAGAACAATGATAAAATGTGAAAGTATGATGATAGACAAAGCAATATACTGTACAAAGGTCCTTACAAATAGAAAGACAATAAAAACAAGAGGGATACTTTTCCACCTTCTCAAAATAGGGTTAAACGTGAGAAAGATGGAGGTAGCAGACAAATTCCTTATGTTTACTGCTGAAGTCTGAATCTTACATCTGAACTCGCCCTGGTCCTTGAACCCCACAGAGCACTTTTAGGTTTTTAGTAGCAGCATTACCACGGCTGGTTGTGGTTGTGCAAACTGTACCTCTTCCTTTGGCCAGTGTATTTACAGCTGGGGGTTTTAGATCACTGCAGAGACTTCCTACAGAGTGCGGTGTTAACTCTCACGCTATCTTTGGGATCGAAGCTCATGTCTGAGTACTCCTCATATCTTTCTGGCTGTCTGTGATGGATTAGCCACCTGTGGTGATGAGAACTGGATGAATGCGTACACGCTCACACACACAGAGAGGCTCGCACGTATGATGACCCCCATAATTTTCACTAAATCTAATTAAAGAGGTTTAAACACCCATGACTGCCCATCTGGTCACAGGGTGACTTCATCCTCACAAAAGTCTGGAGGAGGGAAAGCTTGTTCTACACTGGATAAGGCAGCAAAGGAGACACGACAGTGCTTGTTGGGTTGAAGTACAGTGTACATCAATACATTTAGAAGTAGTTTTGTAATGGTGGCTTGGACCGGAAAGGACTTTCTTAGAGGCTGGGAACAAGAAGAAGAGCAGGACAATGATTCTTACACACACCCTAACATTTAAAAACCCTCAATAGTATGGTACAGATTCTTTGTGCTGGAAAACACCTCTAAGACAACCACAAGGAGAAACTACAGAAAACAAATGTCTGTGCAATCAAGCTTTCATAGGAACTTTGGGAGCTGTAAAATAAAAGATGTAAGATTTTGGTTTTAGCTATAACATAGAGGATAGCGGTTATATGGTTCCAGGCTCGAAATGCTGATGTATAACACAATAAAATGGGGAGGGACAAAATAGACAAAACCTCAAGGCTGGAATACAGGATGGTTTTGTCAAAGCACAACATTCTGAAATGTGCATTAGAAGAAAATAACATCAACCCCCTGAAGAGACAGGAGCTTGTAAGAATCATTCTGTCAACAGTAGGTTTCCCTCCTGTCAATCCATCTGACCGATGTTCAGTTTAAACAACATGGGCCAGCAGGGTGGATAAAACTGACTTGCTGATTCAACACCAAAAACTTCTCTCCAGGTTTGTTGTCTTACAATGCATTTACAGAACAACTTAAGAAAAGGAGTAGAGTTATAAAGCCAAGGTAATCTAATAAGCATACGTGTGCACTTGGCATGTCCTCTTAAATCAAGAGATCTGGTGGGGCAAAGGAGGGGGTGTTTGCCAGGGAGGAATTTCTCCCATGCCGGTGCCTGTTCTCTGATCCATCACCAGCCAGGCAACCAAAGCTCTGCACGTCTAGTCCACACCGCACTCTCTGGAGGAATCCCACCGTGATGAACATACAACAACACAAACAGCCAGCAGCCTACACCTTTCAACATCTACTGTACATCTCTCTTGCTTTTCAGTATATGTGATCCTTGATATAACATATGGATCTTGCACATTCACAACAGTTTTTGGAAGAGGGTGCATTGTGCAGGGTGGTCTAGCTGCCTGCTCTTTAACTCAAAACTCAAAAGTCTGTTCCCTACATCACTAGATGCTATTTATTGAACTTGTTGCAAATTACTATCAGATGCGCAAAATACTGCGGAACCACAATTTAGTGGCATATTTACTAACACTGATGATATAAATGAGCACAGCCACAGATGTGTTCTTTATAATACACCTCCACTTACGATCTAGTCCCTGCAGGCATGTGTGGACTGAGAGGGAGCATAAAAGAAAGTCTAAGGTTACTATGACTGATCTTGATAATGGTTGAATAAATTACCAATTTATTTTGGAACAACAATTACATAGTCTCCTGCCAGTCAAATAATCTCTTATTTAGTTCAGTAATTGAAGGATGGTTTGACCTCAAAACATGTAGAAGTCCCTGACATTCTCCTTCGGCAAATGCGATTTCCAAACATCCTCTCCCTCCTTAAACATGTTTTTAACACAATGAATTCACAAATGACTTGAACAGGCACCACACTGACAACAGGGCCGCAAATTTTACACCCTGCTTTCTTTATCCTGCTCTATCAGTGGAAACATCAATAACCAACTGATCGCAAAACCTACTGTTTCAGTTAAGAATCTTCCTAACATCTGAACTTGTAATACACAAAACTAAAATGTATCTAGCATCGTTTCAGCTTAAAATGTTCATACAGTATCTTGATTTACACAGTGTAGTTCACTGACCAGTTAGTATACAGTATATGGGCTAATACAGACAGCCTAAGTCTTGCACAGCACACGTCAGCCAAGTAAGGACTATGTGAAAAACAGTCAGGAAGAGCATGCCGAGTATCAGATTCAGCAAGGACTCAGGCAGGGAGCTTTTTGTCCGTAGAGAGCCATTCATCCCTAGCTGGGACCGAAGAGGAGTGATCACTCACTGGAGCATTAGCAAATATCCAGACCTCATCGGTCATTTGTGACACTCTTCTTCACAACCACCTTCTTTCTGCTTCTTTATCTTTCTACCTTTTCTACATCGCTTGCTATCGCTGTCACTAATTCCCGTTCAGAGAGAGTGCATGTCTCTCCAAGGGTCTACTTAGATCTCAGACACAATTCTCTTTCCTAATGGTAACTCAGCACTCCCACACGTCACCCAGAAACATCTGTCAGTGGTATTTAATGCTGGACAGAAGGAGTGGTCTCCTGTCTGTGATGTGGTGCAGATTAACCGTTAGTATCCATTCATCCCAGGGGTTCAGCTCTACTCAAAAAGAGGCACAGGTATGCAGTAGACTTGCCTCTATTTCCTTTTACTTCTACACCAAACCATGCTTTTTCTCCGTCCTCATCATTTACCCCTTTCCCATCATAGTTTCACTCTTTTTGATTATGCTCATGGCTCTATGCTTTTTGCTTACTGTATCTCCTCTCCTCTATTCTTCTCTTCTCCAGATGTGGGTGCTCTTCTAGAGAGATCCTGCTGTTCTCTGCAGTTTGTCTCTGTAAAACATCATTTAGTGTCAAAAACTTTTCAAACACAGCTGTAGTTCTGCTGCATTTCAGGACTTTTATGGCTTCTCATGAAAGAGTTGGAGGGAGAGAGAACCTATAGGCTTTCATAGTGAAACCTGCATAACACAGAGTTTATCTTGATTAATCTGACTTCTGACTGCTGCCAGCAATTAATATCTCTAAGGTCAAACAGGCCAGGAAAAAGCCTATATTGATGCATGATTAAAGAATAAACAGCTTGGGTCTTAGTTTTCTGGTCTTACCAAAACGTTGGCTAAGATTTAGGAACCTGGATTAGGTACACTGCACAGCATTGCAACTCACTGCTACTATAAATTGTATTGATTGGTATGATTTTAGTCTTGTTTACTTATTCTTTGCTCAGATGTTTCCTCTTATAATTGATGCCTTTGGTAATTTTATCATCTATTTTTTACTTAAAACATACATTGTGTTTTTTAAAGCAGCAACAATAATCATAAATGAGCATCTCAAATTTGTGGACTGAACGCATCATTGTTGGACAACTGCATGCAAACTGTTGCTATTTACAACAAACTGAAATTGGAGTGTGGATTTAAAGGCAGTAACTAACGTGGGAGTGTCAGATCGAGCTAAAACATTCATTTAACTTTGTTGCTCTTTTTCGACCGACACATTCCTTTGTTTTCCAGTGACCCGCACTCATCATATTAGACATTCTCAAGTCTCCAAATCAATTTCGGACTCTCTGTTACCAGTGACTTGAG